AAAATATAGAAGTCTCTAATTTTCCAAAGCAAATCGGAGCACAGGGAAAATAAATCCCTATCATTGAAAATTATGACACACACTGCCATATAGCAATTACATTTCCCATAATAAAATACTATACTAGCTCTGACATTAATTTAAAACTTACGCCTCAACCAAATTTGAGGCACACATTGCCTCTTCCGCTCATCTCTGCCCCCAATAGTAATTCACAACCTAGGAACTATTGTCTTATAGGAAAATGGCACATCCCAAAGCATGTACTCTCGGAAGCCAGTGAACTACATATACATGTTTACAGATTATATGAATATATAAGTGAGGCTATAAATAAATGCTATACCACTTCCTAACTCACTTGCAAAGTATTTCTAGGGTAAAGGTTTACTGCTCAGGCTCCTTTAATTGACTTACTCTTCCAATTAACCACACCTGGAGAGATGATTTTGCTTACTGCACATGCACAAAACTGATTCATATCATTGGACCTTTCCCAACCTTCTCATTCTCTCATGAAAGCCAGACAACTAAGGGCTAGATCCAAAGACTTGTCTAGATCATAGAGGGCTAAATAAAATGTTCTAGAAAGTTTGTGTGAAGAGTAGAATGGGGATCACAAACTATGGGTAGCAGTCCAAATCCTGCCGGCTGCTTGTTTTTATACAGAAAGTCTGTACGAGATACCCTGGACCACCCAAAAGATGAACAGGAAGGTCTCGGAGCAAATCAAGCCTGAAACATGGATGGAGGCAAAAATGACAAGCTGTCCTACTGCATGCATGCCACGAGAAGGCAGGTGCTTTGGGAAAGACAATAATCTGAGAAAAATAACAGGCAGCAGGAAAAGGGTGAGACTGAATCTGAGATGGACTGACTGTACCATAAGCCACAGGAGGGAGTCTACAGGAACTGTGTGCCACAGGGCATTGTGGCCATCACTCATTCAGAAGGTCGCCAGGGGCTGGAGCCAACTCAAGGGCACACGGCACATAGAGAACACCCTGTGCCCATTTGTTCACAGTGTCTCTGGCTGCTTTTGCTCCATGATAGTAGCGTTGATCAGTTGCAACAGAGACCATTTAACCCAGGAAACCCCAAAACATTTACATTTACCTGGTCCTTTACTGAAAAATTCTGCCAATGTTTTAGAGGATCCTTGAAATCAAATGTCAGTTTTAGAACATTATTGCAAAGGAATACTGTTAGGTAGAGCAAAGGAATAAACCATTCAAGAACGCACCCCCATTTCTCCCATCTCCAAGGAGAGTAAATTCAGAGTAGTTTCTCCAAGTTATTTCATCTGCTGCTACAGGTCTAAAGCATAGGAAACAAGTTTGACAGTACATGCATTATAATGTTATAGTTTTTTAAAAGAAGGAATACTACAGTGAAGACTCAGAAACAAGGCTTGTTTTATAAAATACACACAAAAACACACATTTGTATCTTTCAAAAGGTCATATGACATATACTGTAATGTTGAGTGGCTCATCAATTTTCCCCCCTCACCTACTATATTTGGAAGTTCACTATGGATTTCAAACGACATATGTGAGAAAACTTTAAATAGTTGGTTTAAATCATGACATGACAATACTTTCAAAAAAGGAACTGATCCAAACCAGGGTAAACAAGATTGGAAGACTATTATGTTTGAGATAGCTATTCTCCATGTTACATATAATTGAATAATGTGTACATAGGAATGCATAAATAGCAATCAATTTCTTGAGTTACTTTATATTATTTAAATTAAAATATGTATTTTGATGACTCAAATATCATGAAACTGCTTAGAAATCAGATTTTCAAAAGCACTTTGTATAACAACTTTTTAAAATTTAAAATAAGAATTATTATCCATAAACATCAAGAAAAATTAGAAGGAAATCATCAAACACTAAAAGAAAACTACTTTATAATTTCTGTCCCTAAAATCAAGTGACATAAAAAGAAAAGCCAATGAATGACTCAGCAACTCTTGATTATTTAATTTCCAACCACTTACTGTCTTACGCAAAGTGAAATATTTTCCCAGTACCTACTGCTCTTTTTGCTTTAAAAAAAAATATATATATATATTATTGATTTTTTTTTTTTTTTAACAGAGAGGAAGGGGAAGGATAGAGAGCTACAAACATAGATGAGAGAGAAACATCGATGAGCTGCCTCCTGCACACCCCCCACTGGGGGATGAGCCCGCAACCAAAGTACATGCCTTTGACCGGAATCAAATCTGGGACCCTTCATTCTACAGGCTGACGCTCTATCCCCTGAGTCAAACTGGTTAGGGTCCTACTGCTCTTTATAGGCAAGATAATTTTATAATCTAAAATGCTTAACTAATATTTCAGAATGCTCTCTGAAAACAGTTCTAGAATAGATATTTCTAGAACTAATTTTTTCAGATCAGTTAATTAATATAAGAATCAGTTTTAAAAATTAGTTGTAATACTTCAGTAACAACTATAAAATCTTACTGGTTATTTCAATTAAAAGAACTAGACATTTAGAAATTAAAAAGAGACATTTAGATCAGTCACTTCACATTTTATGATTCATCATTTTACATATAACAAATTTACATACTGCAATAATATGAAATACAGCCAAGGAAATTTGATCATTTTATAATTACACTAGAGGCCCTGTGCACGAAATTTGTGCACAGATAGGATCCCTAGGCCTTGCCGGAGATCAGGGCCTATCGGGGCCTTCCAGCTGCCAGCCAGGGCCTCCCTTCCCCAGCTGCTGGATGCCAGCCAGGAACTTCCTTCGTTTCGTACCAGCCCTGGTGGTCAGTGCACGTTATAGCTAGCAATCGAACTCCTGGTGTCTCGGGCAAACTCCCCAGGGGGCACTTTGCATATTAGCCAAATATATTATATATATATAGACACACACACACACACACACACACACACACACGAATACAGTTTTAGAAAACTTTTAAAAATTGAGACCCTTCAATATATATAATCATCAAACTTATCTGTGTTACAGATTATTTGCTATTTAAATTACATCAACTCAAAAATGCTTTAAATAATGACATTATACTGTTTCCTAGAAGCACACCCACTTGACAGCTGAGCTCCAAAAATACTTGTACAGAGATGCTTCAGTGATTCAAGATACTTCCTAAAGTTTGTTCCTCTTGTTTAATAATTGCATTATCTGTGTCATTATATATTGATACATAAAATAAATGTACTACTATTACACATATATAACGACCTTATAATAAAACTTAAACATTTACTTTTACTAACATTACTTTTATATATTTTAAGTTCAAATGTATTCAAAAGGTCCTAAGGTATATATAGTTTCAGCATCAAAACAAAAAAAAATCATATATCAATAAAAGTTCAGTAAGTTTAAAATAAGTTCCAATAAATGATATGTTTCAATAAATGATATAAATTTTAATAGGAACTACTTAAAATATCCACATTTTAAGCACTTAACATGCTACTAATCTATTCATAAGACAGAAATACAACAGGATGCTAAAATTGAACACCAATTTCTTACAAAATTACTTGGGCTAAAAAAAAAACAAAACTATTTTGTTGCTAACAATATGTTATTCTCGGAAACAGAATATGAACCAACACGGTAAGCACTTGAAAAATAATTCAAAATAGGAATTAAATGTTCATTTATAAAGGTGAGTATAAATAATCTAAAGGATGGCATTCAGCAAATTGATGCAGAAAATTCAAGTGGCTTGCTTAAAGCCACTGAATGAATTATAGAACAAGATAAACTCTGTGCACTTTCAAATTCTCCCAAGCTTGCCTGACTGTGGTCTTGGATAACAGTTACAACCACACTTAAGTAGACACAAACCCTCCTCTTCCCTCGACAACACTGAGGATTTTACTGAAGAATATCAGTTTCCTGTTCTTCAACCAACCAGTGCCCTTCAAAAGTGGCAATGGCAAAGGGGAATGAAAGACAAGGGCCAGGGTAAGCGAGAAGAGGGGCAGAGAAAGGGACAAGGAAGAAAAATATCTTCCGGCAGACATGCACAGGGCCTTCTTGGCTTCCCTTTTGGCACTGTTCCCAAGCCTACACGCTAGGAAAGAGCTCTCAGCTCTGATTCAGACTTCTCCAAGTTTCTCATCTCCAGGGTCATGGTCAGGCCTACTCCCAACAAGGCGAGTTGGAACTCTGAATGGTTTTGCATTAAAACTCGGTTGTATAAAAGGACTAAGTTGCAAGTTTGTGATTTCTATCCTTTTAAATGTCCTCTGAAAATATGACTGGTTGGGAAAAATAAATGCCCTCCAAATTTTACATAATTTCAGAGTTCGTACTTTAGCATAAGCAACCCTCGGTCCTTGGAATTATCATTACTGAATGTTAGAAATATTACGCACCCAACAGACTTCCCTGTCAACTGAAAAAGGAAAGACCAGTGTTTCTTCAAAGGGAAAGTATGAGCTCCAAATAATGGTTTTATAAACAAATCTCTCAAACACTACACTATCACAAGATAGATCAATGTGTTTCTATCATAATTCCCTCTAGATATATTACCAAGTAATGGAATATTTTTAAGTCCCTTGTATGCTAACAGGTGTCATCCTTGTGTGACAACGAAAGAAGGCAGAACTACTAAATTACTATCCCAAAAGTATAAAACTAGTTCCAGAGAAGTATTCTAATCCAAGCAACTCTGTATCTTTAGAAATGGGGCTTGCATTATGTTTAATGAATGATAGTTAGCTTATTAATAAGTGACAGATGCATAATATTAAAAAATAAGTTATTTCATTTATTTATAACTTACTATAGATTTACAAAGAATGAAAGTTATACCACAAAATAATTTTTATGTTAATTTTTTTCTCTCATTTTATACCACATTGATGTTTGCTGCCTTCAATGGGAACAATTTAGGGTCAATAAATACTATTGAGGAACAGACATGTCACATATCTATTTATAAGTGCTTTAAAACCAAAACTACAGATGTAAATACTTACTTATCAAAGCTATCACTATTTTTGATGAAGCTCTCCAGTTTTTCCTTGGCATATTCCACCACATCTGAATGAAGCTCAATCCCATGATTTATTCCAAAAGGACCTGCAATCGTAGCAGCATTTTTACTTAAAAAACAAATAAGTCATTACAGAGCTTAATTTCTGCTCATTTGTCACAGGAACACTTAAAGCGGGCTTGAAATATATGAATATCTGCTAGCCACAGATTAAAAAAGCTACATGGAAATCTCCGAATTTATACTGTCTTAATTAAAAAAAATAATATTGCTTATCTGTCAAGATAATACTGACAAAGTCAGATACTATATGAAGTTTTAAGTTCATCAATGGTTAAAAATTTAGTAATTCTAAAATCTCAAAACCACAGGCTATTAGATACTATAAACATATCTCCCAAGATCCAACCACTACTCAGTGACTGCTAACTTCAAGGGCCAAGACCACATTCTGTCTTCTGGAGCTCTCATTGTCTAGTACAGCAGTCGGCAAACCGTGGCTCGTGAGCCACATGCGGCTCTTTGGCCTCTTGAGTGTGGCTCTTCCACAAAATACCACGGCCTGGGCAAGTCTATTTTGAAGAAGTGGCGTTAGGAGAAGTTTAAAAAATGTGGCTCTCCAAAGAAATCTCAATCGTTGTCCTGTTGATATTTGGCTCTGTGACTAATGAGTTTGCCGACCACTGGGCTAGCAGAATGTGGCCATCAAAGTCAACTCTTTACAGAGCAGGTTTTCCTTTCTTGTGCCCCACTTCCCACCTCTGACTTGGTATATCTTTTTAAGGAAAGCCAAGGATGAGTAACATTCCAGGAATTAGGAAAGTGGGAGGGCTTTCTCAGCCACTGAAGATTTGGGGATGGCTCCCTTCCCGCCCCTGGTTACTAGCTTACTGACAACATGACTTAACTGGATTCACATCTCACAGGCTACTGTTACTGCGCATGCTGCCTGCTTCACAGTCCACAAATCCATCTGGTTACACCAGCTATTTTCAAATTTCTGAAATTGAGCCAATCAGGTTTTCTACTCTACATTCATTATATTAGTTTATAGAGATTGGTCTCCTAGGAGAAAGTGTATAGCTTGTATTTGTGTATGTGTATTTATTTTTTCTATCTTATATAGACGTGTGTACTGTACCTTATATCTATCATAGGAACTACTTAACTGGATGTGCACCCTACTGTCATTAAAAATACAATATATACTAAAATGTTAAAATAACAATAAAAAATCAGTCACCAATTATCATGCTTGAATGTTTAGAAGGCACTTAAAAATGGTTTGTGATCTAGAAACTACCTAAACTATAAAAATTAAACCAAAATGTTCATAAGCTATCTTAGAACCCAAATCAGATCAAGATAATGCTTTAACCTACTATATATATTTTTTATTTAAATATATTTTATTGATTTTTTACAGAGAGGAAGAGAGAGATACAGAGAGCTAGAAACGTCGATGAGAGAGAAACATCGACCAGCTGCCTCTTGCACACCCCCTACCGGGGATGTGCCCACAACCAACGTACATGCCCCTGACCGGAATCGAACCTGGGACCTTTCAGTCCGCAGACTGATGCTCTACCACTGAGCCAAACCGGTTTCGGCTAACCTACTATATTTTTATCATATTGCATTTGATTATTTAAAAAAACAAAACTGATTCTGCCTGGCCAGTATGGCTCACTGGTTGAGCATCAACCCATGAACCCGGTCAGGGTTCGAGTCCTGGTCAGGATGCATAGCTGAGTTTCAGGCTCCATCCACAGTAGGGGGTGTGCAGGAGGCAGCCGATCAATGATTCTCTCTCACTATTGATATTTCTATTTCTCTCTCCCTCTCCCTTCCTCTCTTAAGTCAATTAAAAATATTTTTTAAAAAGCACGAGTCAAAGAGAAAAAAGGTAAAAGATTTTAAAATAAACATAAAATAATTCTAATAGAAAGTTACAAGCTGTCAATAGAAAACAATGAAGCAGTATCCAAAAGAAGTGTTAACACTTTCTAACATTATCTAACAGATGAAGCATAAACTTGACTTTGTATTCAATAAATTCCAATGTTATTCTGTATTTGTCAATGTGAGATATTTTCCTATAAATAATAAATGCTTAATTTTTGTAAGACATATTTTAAAAAATAAGACTTGTTACAGGTGACCACTATATCTTTAATGGCTAAATACTAAAGAGAAAATAGAAACATTACAGAAGTCAAAGTTTATTATGACAAATATATTTATTAGAAAAATCTAGGTATCTTATATGTTAGAAATGATTTTTAAGGCTGGCAATAGCCTGTTTATTAAGAGCAATAACCAATATAATAAAATCTAGTGACTGTTTTTCTTTTATAGTGATTGGATCTAATCTAACTCATTTATCACCTACCAGTTAGTCAATAATCAAGGCTTATACATGAAGGTCAATAATTATTAGGTATAGGTATGAAGTGTCCATCAACATTCCTTATTTACATCTATGCTGACCCCATTCCACACACAATGCCCTGGTTCCCCCTACTCTAAGCACCCCGAAAGGCTGCATGAGTGTGATGTGCATGGCAGATGTCTTCACTAGGAAGACGTCTCTATAAGAAGAAATCTGAGAGCTGTGTTCGACTCTGGGATGCAGTCCCCAGTACCTTTAGAATTGTCAAGCTAATTTACAGAACGCGGCTACAAGCAAAAAGTACTTCCTAACATGAAACTAGCAGAGCTCTAAAGATGAACTAATTCAAGATCCACCATTGCCAAGGAGGACGCAAATCTGAACACTGTGGGTGGTGAGAAAGTGAATTTAAGGGCAGATGTCTCGTGTCCAACCTTGGTTCCGCCTCTTAACAGTTGCATAATCTGAGATCAGTCACTTAGCATTTGAAGTCTTCCCCACAGTATAAAATGGGCCCTGAGGAAAGCATATAAATTATGTAAAAGTGCTTCATATACTATACGGTACGAGATGGGTACGCATTGTTAAGACTTAACATGTGTGCCCTTCTCCTTGTATACTGAACTTGTTAGTTGTGGAAGCCAAACCATAACCTACATGTGGTTCTCAACCCTGATTTCATATTAGAGCGAGAGGCTGATGCACCAGTTCGGGCACAGGTGCAGTGCCTCGGCTGGCCAGCGATCAGGACCCATCTGGGCCTGTCTCACCCGGTCCCGATTGGGCCAATCGGGCTGGGGACTGGGGCCCGATTGGGGCTGGCCAGCCAGGGGGAAGGGACCACAAGAGGCTGACTGTGGGAACACACTGACCACCAGGGGGCAGCTCCTATGTTGAGCATCTGCACCCTGGTGGTCAGTGCACATCACAGTAACCAGTCAACCGGTCATTTGGTCGCTTGGGCTTTTATACTGGTATATGGTATAAAGTGCTTTTTTTTTTATTACACTTGAATCTTAGAAATTATTACACAAAATCTGAAAGTGTTAAAGGACCAGAGATGGACTCAAACCCCTATGTAAACTAAATGTCTAAAATGTTTAAATACTGTCCTAGCCAGTTTGGCTCAGTAGATAGACGTTGGCTTGTGGACCAAAGGTTCCTGGGTTCAATTCTGATCAAGGGCACATACCTACGTTGCAAGCTCCTTCCCACCCAGAGTCCTGGTCAGGGCTTGTGCAGGATGCAACCAATCGATGTGTTTCTCTCACATTGATGTTTCTCTCTCATCTTTCCCTTACTCTTCCACTCTCCCTAAAAATCAATGAATAAAATATATTTGATATTTTTTATTTCAACAAAAAAAATGTTGAAATATCAATCAAACTGGATTACAGTAATGCTTGCACAATTCTGCAAATTTTACTAAAGCTCACTGAATTGAGTGGGGCTAAAGTGAAAGCAAAAACCCGAGTATTTGAGATCTCTGCCCTGAAAAGAGAAAAAGGAGAGAGATCAAACATGATGGCAACATATAGCTTAACTAATTAGCTCTTTTGGATAATACAGCAGTTGCTGGTATTTACATATGTTGGCAATAAGTTTCCTGTTAAGCACAAAGCTTATTAAGTGTTTCACCTTTAGGACTAGTATGATAGTGCTGAGGCAGTGAAATATTCAGTGTTGGAAAGATTCAGGCAGTCTCTCCACACTCATTCCTATTACTAACTCGGCAACTAGGGAAAGAGATTAAGAAAGTCATTAAGCTGGATGGACCTTGATATTATAGCGAATCCCTAAGCAAAATAGATCAAAATAGAGAAGAAGCATACCTACCCGAATCAGAAAGATTATCAGAATAATTTGCCATCACAGTTCTGATATTTAACTCAACTCTGGGAAAGCAGAGGACTTGGCAAGGTTCTTTTCTTGTACCCTATTTTTCAAGGGGATTCCCTAGGTATAAATTAGTACTGAGAGAATCAATTAAAAACAAGAATCTTTGTGAAATTCCTAGTTCTATATATATGTATTTTATTGATTTTTTACAGAGAGGGAGGGAGAGGGATAGTCAGAAACATCGACAAGAGAGAAACATTGATCAGCTGCCTCCTGCAAACTCCCCACTGGGTATGTGCCCACAACCAAGGTACATGCCCTTGACCGAATCGAACCTGGGACTCTTGAGTCCGATGGACCCCAGCAGTCTATCCACTGAGCCAAACCGGTTAGGGCTAGGCAGACTCTTACTGAGAAGAGAGTGGAAACAAGAAGAATTTATCTTCGATTTGAAATTCAACAAGCTGTCAAAATGAGATGATCCATTCTCTAGGTCTGGGGCAAATATGAATTTATGAATAACTGCTTTAAACGAACTCCAATCACAAGAGATTTCCTTAAGATAAACCTTCCTTTCCCACACTGAATAACAAAAGCTCTCTGAAGATGACAGCCCGTCCTTTACAGGTGTTTCTGGATGCTCATGGAAACTCCTCGGGAGTATCTTTCCCATCTGCATCATCACAGCACGGACGCCCGGCTCTCCTGCCGCAGCGCACCTGTCATCCGCGTCTTGTGACTGGGAGAGCAGCGTGGCTGAGAGCCAGGGTGTTCCAGTTACTTAATAAGGAGAGGACTCTGTGAACAAGGTCACTGTGCAGCAACACGGCCACCTCCGAGTCACCGCACTCACAGAACTACGGGAGCACACAGCCCCCTTTTGTGGGTCCAGTGCGGAGTGACTTTTAGGGATGAATCTTCCCTTCCTTGACTCAAATGCTCTCAAAATACAAACCAAAAAAGGGAGACGGTTTAAAAAAACATAAAACTTCCTCAGAAGTTGGACAGATCTAATATTTAGCAGCTGGAATCATAGTTTTACAGACTCTATTCTTTCTCCCTTTCCTTCTTTAAGATGTTTTTATTTTATCTTTCTTGCAAAATAAACTATTTCCCGCCGAGACCGGTTTGGCTCAGTGGATAGAGCGTCGGCTTGGGGGACTGAAGGGTCCCGGGTTCGATTCCGGTCAGGGGCATGTACCTTGGTTGCGGGCACATCCCCGGTGGGGGGTGTGCAGGAGGCAGCTGATTGATGACTCTCTCTCATCGATGTTTCTAGCTTTCTGTCTCTCTCCCTTCCTCTCTGTACAAAATCAATAAAATATATTTTAAAAAAAATAAAGTAAAATAAAATAAACTATTTCCCATCCAAAGGAGAGAAGCTGTATCTGGGTCTTAACTGTGCAGGATCACACACAGTAAGGCTTAGATTATCTAGTAACTATGGTCATACATGTAACTAAAGACTCTTGGCTCCCTGGAGACTTGTAACAGGAGGAAAACACCTAGTGCGTTGTGGCTCATTTGCACGGCGTCTGCTTCCCCACACTGGTCTGTGGTGTGGACTGAAAGGCATTCAGGATACAATGAAGTCTGAGGTTACCCTACAAATGCACCTGGTCACTGGGACTATGAAAGGGAGTTTAAGAGAGCCACCTCACTGCTGGCAGGGTTACTAGTCACTCCCCTTTCTCCCCAGCCAGGACTCTGGCTAGACCGACCTCCTTCAGCAGAAACCGGTCTACAGGGTTGGAGAAGTGGAAGACAGGGTAACAGCTGCCCTGAGGCTGGCAAGACATGGTGTGAGGCCTGCACTCCAGCCTAAAGTTGCCAGAGCTGGCCAAGAAATGCACTGATTCAAAGGCAACTTTTGAAAAGAAACCTACCTGCTCTCGCCACTCACTTGCTTGGATTTGGAGACTGTCTCAAGGCCCAGAGTTCCTTTGCCAAAGAGGCACTAGTGATACAAGAGAGAGACGCCTGGCGTCCCAACCTGCAGAGGAACTCCTGTCTCATGGAAGCTGCTAACTTTCTTTCTTGGTAAAACTTAATTATTTGCTACACTTTTGAGGAATTATTACTTATCAAAAGATCAATTGTGGGAGGAAAATGCTCTATTTTAAAAAAATTAAATAGATTGCAGGTTCCATGATTAAGAAACTAAAGAGTGAGTCAGTGTGTAGGAAAGGAAAATTTCAGGACTAAGAATGTCTTAAATGTCATATGTGACCACATAATTTATTGTTCAAACGGGGATACTTTGGGGAAAAAAAAGGACATGGTTGATGATGATGCTTGCAGGGATCAACAAGGACTGGAACCTGGTTACCCTAGCAACGGTGGGGAAACTTTTTCCACCAAGGGCCATTTGGATATTTATAACATCATATTACAAAATTTTCAACTTAAAAATTAGCCTGCTATATTTGGGTCAAACACTTAATTATCTCACCCCTGAGGCCTTGGCAGGGCCAGACCAAATGATTTCAAGGGCCTTAAGGGCCCATGGGCCGGGTGTTCCCTACCCCTGCTAGAGTGTAATCAGAGATTCTCTAGTTAAAATCTTGCAATGATTCCCCATCCCTTTAGAGCAAATGGTAAACCAGTCTTATCCCTAATATCTGGGCATACAGTACACTTCAACTACAGCACATAGCCCATGGGATGAGAAGTGCTGGTTTTGTCTCTCCTCTCCCCCCACCTCCCTCCCAAGTCCGTGAATTCAAGAGCAAGAGGATGTGTTATGGGCCTTCATGCTCCGCCTAATTCTTGCCTCACAGCAGCTCTCAGTAAATACTCGGTGGCTTAGTAAAATTCATGGATGTTCATTCTCCATCCAACACCATAATGTCCTAATAGATTTTCCTCCCCACGCGTTTTCCACCCCATTCCGTAGTTTCCATCTGCCATCTCCTAGCGATGTGACTTTAGGCAAGATATTTAACTTCTGTGCTTCAGTTTAACCCTCCAATAGACATGGAAATCTATTAGCCCTTGTAGTAAGCACTGATAAACTTCTCCCAGACAGAGCTAGCTGTCCCTTTTGATCACTGCTGGGCACTCACACCAGAAACAACACCTGGCAGCACTGACAGTTCCTGAAGGCACGCTGAAACCTTACTGACAGGTACTTCTCTCTTCTGCGGTGCATTTCCCATCCTCTGTCTGCCTGCCAGTGCGACATCCTCTGGGTCCCACATACTCCTGTATCTTTAACAAAAACCTGGCACCATGCCCTTGGAAATGATAACTATCAAACTCGATGCCCGCAGTCAGAACACTTTACCTGAAATAAGTTACTTTATACTCCTCAGTCTCCCGCCTACCAACTGTTCCGTTTTAAGTACAGACAATGACCGGGGGTTGGAAAACAATTCCGAGAGCTCTTGAAGTCTAGGACTGAATGCAGAAGCTAACTATGAGTGTCCACGCCGGGATTAAGCAAAGTTTACTATTACTTTGTGCTCCCATTGAAGGAAGTCAGCTACTTGGAGCATAAACATTCAAACATAGACTGTACACTAACGAAGTTACAGACCCTGAAAATCACAGTCATACACACGTAGCTTACTTTTTAAAAAAGAATTTCACAAAAATAAATTACCTAAAATTAAGCCCACCATTGTGCTTAGATAGCCGGTCCCACTCCCCAGGTTGAGGAAAGACAATCCTGGCTGAAGTTTCAGGGCTTCCATGACTTCAGAATAAATGCACGGCGCCGACAGGTGTATGTTCCCGTGCTTCCAGGCCAGGTCTTTGTAAGCGTTGTCCCGGTAGCCTTCCAGATAGTAATCGCCGCGGTCAATGGCCCGGAAGGCTTGCTCCACTCTTTCCGTGCGGATATACTGAGCTTCTTTCAAGTTATCGATTAAGTCATCGTTATCTTCCCCAGCGCTCACCGCTCCTCCCATGATAGCACTCAAATCAAATCATAAATTTTAAAATGTAATAAAATTATAGCAGAAATGGCTTCAAATAATGTGCGGTACAGTTTGTTTTCCTCTTATTATTGCACTTGATTTCCAAAAGGAAGTTAATCCTGAAAGGGAATAAAAATAGACAGGTTTAAATTAATGCTCAAACGGAGAGTAAGTCCAGTTTATTAAATATATCATTATTATAACTAACTACCATTTCTCAAGGACATATTCTATTCCAGGTACAGTGTAAAAGCTCCTTAAGTACATTCATGTACTTATTCTTACAACATCTACAAAAGGCAGTTTAAGTATGACCTCATCTGAACAGGTAGGGAGTTTGCAACACGGCAAAGTTAAGTCACCTCATACTATGAGACCCAATATGGTAGCCACCAGTCACATGTGGCTACCTAGTCCTAAATTAATTAAAGTTAAATGCAACTTAAATTCAGTCAGTCATACTAACCACATGGGATGTGCTTAATAGCTACGTGTGGCCAGCACCGCCATACTAGACAGTGCTGCTCAGTATGGGCGACCCTGCTGGGCACAGTCCCAGCTCTTTCAGACTCCAGAAACCACGCTTTCACTCACCAGCCCTGCGGCCTCCTTTAGAGGACTGTGAGCCTAGTCTAATACGCATGGATTAATTTAAAATCCTAAACTTAGAAATTTGCTAACAATTCCCAAATGTACCACATAAATTAATAATGACAACACAAAGAATATTGTACACAAATAGCTACTTACAAACTGTATAAACAACAGACCCACGTTTTTAAAGTATGTATGTGTATAAAAAAGTGTTTTGTCTATTAAATGTTGTCATGATAAATAAGACGAGAATTTTTATTAATAACCTTAATAGTTTAAGCACTAGAACACACATTTTACCCCGTTTCCCCGAAAATAAGACAGTGTCTTATATTATTTTTTGCTCCCAAAGATGCGCTTGGTCTTATTTTCAGGGGATGTCTTATTTTTCCATGAAGAAGAATACGGTACACATTTATTGTTAAATGAAAATAAAGGAAATTTATTACCTGTATACAATAGTACAGTAGTTGTCAACACAAACCAAACTGTGAATCCTACAGTATTAAGAATTTACTCATTTATTCAATGACAATCATGTCATCATCTTCTGGAACATCATCATAACAATTCAATTCCTGAATTTCCTGGTAAATTTCTTGTGACTTCATTTCTTTCAGAATCAGTGGACCAAATCTCCCATGTTTAGCAATAGCATTCTGAGACAGAGCCTGGGGGGGGGGGGCTTATTTTCGGGGGGATGCCTTATATTTCACTGGGAAGGAAACCTGTAAGTAGGTCTTATTTTCAGAGGATGTCTTATTTTTGGGGAAACACGGTACATACATACACAAAGAACTTTTTTAATAAGTCAAACTCAGTATCTCTGAATAAAACATAACTGCATCTTAATGAAATAAAAATGTCAATACATATTACTGAAAATACAATTTAAGTTTCATTATAGTTAATAACTAAATTCATATATCGATTTTTGAATTAGTAACTCAGGAGAGAGGGCAGTGAGACATGAAACACCCACGGCCAAAAACAACAGTCATGTCAGCCAACGCTGGCGAAGCCAACCCTGACTCTTGACTTGAGAGAAGAAAAGCAATCGGTTCTTGAACTTCTCAGGATCCTCAGACCCTGGCACCAGGTGCTCCAGCCCTCCTGGGGCGGCCTCCTTACAGAGCTGCCATGTCTGTCCGTGTCCCCCTTTCTCTTTTCTTAGGATCCCCTTAAACTTTCTGCGAGGGAATTCCGTGAATTGGCATCACATTCCTATTTAACTTATTCTAACTCACACAAACCTGGCTGACTTCAATGCCCCTCAGAATCAAAGAAGTCATTTTAAAAGGACAAGGGCTTATGGCACCATTCTCCTGCAGGAGTGTTATTTCGTGGCAAACCGTGCCATCGAGGTGCCAATCTGCGGGTCCTTTAAGAGGTCCTTTTGTAACTCAAGCATATCAACTCACTGAGTGCCATTCTGGCATTTAAGGGTTTTTTGTGTGTGTGTTTTTTAAAGACGGGGCCTCTATCCATTAGCTTTTTCATCTGGTACTGAGAGAATGAATGTCTTCCCGAGGTTAAAGAAAAAAAGGCTAAATAGATTGATTCCTGCCAGTCTCCAGTGTGGCGCATGCCTGAGGATTTTATAAGGATTTTATAATTCTGACTAACCACAAACATTAAACAAATGGCTGTACTGGAAATGCCATAGTTTTACTAGTTTTCTTTTTCTTTTTTTTCTTTTTTATTCTCCCCTGGGATATGATTCTAGAAAGAGATGAAGGGTGAGGGAGGGAGGAAAAGAAACACTGATGTGAGAAACATCGATTGACTGCTTCTGCACACGCCCCAACCGAGGCTTAAACCTGCAACCTGGGCTTGTGCCCCGACCCCAGGAATCGAACCCTTGACCCTTGGAGGACATGGGATGATACGCCAACCCATTGAGCCACACTGGCCAGGGCCATGATTTATTAGTCTGAAAAACTCTCCCTCTTGTTTGGCTCTAGGGCTGAAGAATGACCAGATCTTTCTCATGTTCCACTGAATTCCTGAACTCTGATCTATCCAGAATGATCACAGCAAGACAAGAAACACTTTCTTCACAATACAGAGGCACGCGCCCTGGGTGAGAAAGGCAAGAGGAGGAATCAAGCAAACAAGATCTACCACCATTTGCTGGCAGACACTGTACTTAGCCTATAAGGAAGGCTCAAGTGAGAAGCCCCCTGTAGCGGTAGGGAGCGCTACACTCCACTGTGCGTGACCACCGCCACAGGAGCCCAGAGAAACCCAAAGCAGAAGCTGAATCCAGGAGTCAAGGATGCTTCCTAAAGGCGTGATTCGTGTAATACTTTTAAAGGATTAACAAAATGATGGGTTGAGAAAGCAACTGGTATTTAAAGCAAGAGCGCAGATGGTATTTTTTTTGGAAATTATAAGCGTTTGGGTACTATTCAGCACCTTAAGAACTTTCTCCTAGAGGCCAGTTTGGTTTTTGTTGTTGTTGTTTTGTTCTGTTTTGTTTTTTTGGAGTGGGGGAAGGGCTGGACCCTTTCTAAAATCTGATTATATTACATCCCCTCTATTAAAAGATAAATCAAAAGTTTTGCATATAATTTCAGAACGACACTGAGTTCTTAAGAGATCCATGAGGCTACTCTAATTTAAGAACATCTACTATGGGCAGCAGAGCGTGGCCAGTCACAGATGTTAATGAAGGAGGGAATTACATTTCCATTGCAGAAAGTGCAGTGTAATCTGGGTTTCGGACCTATTACAACAGACCTGAGGCCAGGTACTCAGAGGGCTGGAAAAGAAAATCACCTTGTCAAGGAGGAGCAGTGCCAAACTGTGAAACCAGTTCTCCTGGACTTCTGGCTAGCCTCGGAGGAAAAACAGATCTGAACAGAAAGCTGTAAGGATATGCAGGAGGGAGGTGGTTGGTCAGGAAAGGCTTCCTGGCATAGGAGGCACAATCAGCTACAAGGCATGTTTCTTTAACACAGATTTGCTCACGTATTTGTATTTAGTATACAGGGTAATGTGGTGGAGATAATGAGGAAGTTGTGGTGGCTTAAAATACATGTTCATGTGTTGGAAGTGATAGGAAAGAACAAGCTTCCACTATTAAAGAGATACCTTAGCCTGGAAATGATGTATGTATGAATGTATGTATAGATAGATGATAAGTAGATATGGCAGTTAGATGCAGGTACAGTACAAGTATCTGGAGGAGCTATAAATGCAAACAGGAAAAAAAAAAAAGCTAAGACATTTTCCCTGAATTAAAACAGACTAATAAAGGCTATATCCAGGTTCAGATTTTAAAATTTTGATGAAAATGATACCCATAGGCAAACTATTCCCGGGCCTAAATCTCATATGAAAAAGATGAGCCCAAGGGTTTACGGCTATTTAGGAGTGCAAATCCCAGGAAAGGTTTAGCTGTGCTAAAATTTTCACTAAGGTTGCCTCTGTTCTAGCTGCTAAACTGCTCACACACTTGCACATGTGTTGAGAGTAAGTCCCAGGGCTGTTCTCCTCACAAGCCCTAATGTTCTGCACAACATTAGCTGTTTTCAGAAGTTACAGTAGAAAACCCAGCCTTTGACCTCTATTATTTTAGGAGGCCTCCGGGACCCTCGGCCACATCTGGAGAACAGTTAACATGAATAATTACAAAACAGGATGAGTGGAGCCATGGTAGAATTGTATAAGGCTGTTAAGGGGTACCTAGCCCAAACATGTGGGAGGTGGGAGTGGGAATGAAAGGACTGAAAGACTTTTCTAGAGAAAATGAAGCCTTGGTAAGCACAGAAGGAAGTGTTCAAGGACATACAGAGACATGGAGGCAAGAGGAAATATGCCCATTCAAGACACTACAAACAGGACTGCGAGGTGCAGCACAGACAGAAAGCAGTGGTTGCGAGGCTGGAAGAATGAAGCGGAGGAGCCAGGTAAGCTCTCGGCCTCATACACACTGAACTTGGACTTCCTCTAGGAGAAAGCCAGCGGCCAGGAAAGCCTGGGTCCCAGGTTTCTGCTGGCGGCTGGAAGGAAGCTGGGGTTCCAGGTGCCCGAGGGAAGCCGGTTCCGTCTGCCAGGGGAAGGGGAAGGAAGGCCTGCTCTTGCACAAATTCCATGCATCGGGCCTCTAGTACTGTATATATTATTTCAGTCTTCCACTTATATGCATTACTTCATGCCATCAAAAATTCTTCCAAAATCCAGAGGTCTGAGATCCTACCACAGGGCACACAGGGACAGTGTAACCAGTCCCCAGATGCTGTACAAGGGAGTTTGAATTGATATATAATCAATATATTAATATACGAGGAGTTTGCAAGTTAAAATCTAGAGTGAACATTTTGGCAATTCAACACTTGTGAAAATGATTTCATTTTCTATGAAACTAAAGCAAGCAATTATTTAAAAAACCA